TAACTAATCCTAAAAGGCTTTTCCGTTGTGTCTACGGTCCTCCTTCTAACAGAAAGTCAAACTGCCACCTTGAAAGTCCGGGCAATATTCAGCGTGCCCGAGAGCACTGTCCTCTGCATCTTTCGCAGTACGTCTGTGCTTCTGCCTCCCACCAGCTCGCGCATCATGACATCCAGCTCCCGTGACCACCCCCGAGGGCATCCATAATGATGTTATATCGCTAATGCACCATTTCCTGCGAGAGAAGCGATACCCTACGAGCCCTCTCATGCTCACAAGCCCAAATTAAACCCCTCTAAAACGATTATTGTGAAAATGTATTTGTCTTGACCAAAGACGTGATCGTAATACTATGATAACGATTATTGGTGACATGCACCTCACCCTTGCGGTCACTTGACCCCGCCTGATTAAACACGCATACGTAATTGGCAGTCAGCTCCGCTTAGTTTTGTGAAATATTGTTTACATTTTATTTTGATTTGTGTTTACATGTTGTTCAAAATCAAAGTGGTGAATCCATTTAAGAGGGCAAAAGAGCGAACCAAAGAAACAAAAAATTGACAATGAATAAAAATATATATACTGATAAGGTAAAAACTTGAAACAAGCTAAGCCATCGTTCGCATTCCTAAACATAGGATTGCGACAAGAGATTGAATTTCTGATTTCTTCGCTATCCGTCGTTATGATTCTCTATTCTGTCTTTTCTGTCTTATCTGTCAGTCGTAACGGTACGCGGTGGATCAAATTACAGACTAGCTTCTCTTAAAGCGCAGTTATTTATCCTTCTTCGCCTCATCCGAGGGGAAATAGATCCAGATTTGTGATCTGAAGAGTTTTAATCAGTCTTTCATTCGTGTCGGGTCCGGCCCCCAAAACGCCTTATTGGTCACGTGTCTATTTAATCGTCCTCTTTTGGTCACGTGGTCAGATAAAATTATTGACGTCCATCTTGTTTTTCTGTATTGGCGAAAGAGGCATTCTGAACCCCTTGTTTACTTTAATTTTTGCCAGATTATCAAGGGTTTTTTGCCTCTCGTTTGCAATTATGTCGGTAGTTGATAGATTAGACGCCGCTAAACACTCTATAACTGGCTCTTATATAGCCAAAATCGTTTGCAAAGCATCAAGCCGCGAAGTTATGGGACCGAAAAGGAAGCACTTGGATTGTAAGTTTACTCTTTGACCAAACGTCTCCGATATTTTACTGGTTCAGAGTTGACAGTAGTTGACGAATCTTTTATTGATTTATTTTTCTCTTCAGATCTAACCTCCTGCACACAGAATGACAATGTTTCGATTCCAAACTTGGCGGATTTAATATTTGAACGATGCACGAATTCCAGTTGGGTTGTAGTTTTCAAAGCCGAATGCACTTTCCATCACTTGATGTCATATGGGAATGAGGTAAGTTTTGGATCATGCTTCTCTCTAGGAATTCAGTTACCGAGAAAAGACATTCCCGAGTGATAACAGATTAATGAGGCACCCGTGATAGACACTTGGAAACGCTGGGAAAGTTCTTTCACACAAGTTAGTGTTTGTACCAGTATCCGATGTCACCTTTAAAATCAGACATGTCTCGCAAAAACATGTCGGTGCTAGTTTTGTTGAAGTGCTCTGTTATCAAATAACTATCATATTTTAGTCATCAATCTATGTTTCGCTTTTGATCAGTTTTGAACGACATTTTCTTTGTAGCAAGGCGACATCGATAACGATTTGCCATCAATTTGGCGTTTATCTCGTTTGGCATTATATAACCGTGTTTTGTGTCATACCAAGTGGCAAAAACAATTCTGAATAAGCTTGCTTATAGCAACCCCTAAAATATGGGGCTCATCGTAGAACCAATAAAGTATTAGTGTTTTTACAAGCCCATACAATGTTCCACGAAAGTTTAAACTCGCCGAAAGTTGCAACAGATGATTTTTCCTTAAAATTAAACTGAACTCAACAAAGGAAACTACCGCGACCGAGGCACTTTTTATTATTGATACGAAGAATGAATAACTCTTGAATTTTATTTTCATTTTGCAATGTTAGTTCGTTCCCGCCCCTAAATAATTTGGGGGTTTGGCGATCCTAGTTCGAAATCAAAAGTTGCGATTAGAAATTAATCGTTAATTCGAAACCTTAAGGTAGCGAGTTGTTTCAGTATTGTACTTCAAACAAGAGGAAGACATTTGCACCATTTAGTTTTTTTTTTCACTGTTTGTTCCTGTCGTACGTGAGAGAACGTCCCGACGTGTTCATCAGTATAGGTTTCTATCTTTGAACCGGCGCTAATTATCATGTTATCTGGCATCTTTATTATCTAGGTAGCTCATCATTTTATCTCCTGTATCGATCTTAACAAGAGATAAATCTTTTTTTTTTTTTGTGGGATTTCTGTCGTATCGACTACTGTTTCAATGCTTGTTCCCACTGAAATTATTTTTTAAGCATTTTTTTTTTCTACCGATCCAAAATTCCTCTTTGCCTGGATTGATTTCCGTGTATACCCAAGTGTGTAGTTTACGTATTTATGGCGTATACGTATTTATTTATCACCCAATTATTTTAATTTGCACCTGAGAAGGTGTCCTGAAAATTTGATTTAATGGTTGAAAATAATGTTTGAATGCATCAATGAAAGGTGCATTATAATGTTCCTGTATTTAATAGTGTAGCTATGTGTTTAGTTGTTCATTAACAAAGAAATTTCAGGAGGTCGTTAATCTCTATAATGGTTATTCTCTGGTGCTGTCACTCAAATTAAAAAAAATACTAGTTTACTTACAAACAACAGAAGTCATTACTAATCACACAGTTAATAAATATTCATCAAATATTTTGAAGAATATGTGTTCATTTGTATTCTGCTAATCCTTTTCACAGAGATTCATCCAATACTTGGCTTCAAGAACATCAAACTTCAGTCTTGGTAACTTTCTGGACAAAAGTGGTGTTCAGGGTGAGTAATGTTATTGTTTTATTTCAAGGTGTATTGTCAGATTTATTTTAAATTTCTATAATTTTTTATCAACAAATTAACCCGACTGTGATTCTCATGCCACCATATTCACCTTTAAACTTTAACCATTTATCATAATCATAACTGCTGTTTTTAGTTATATGAAAAAAAAAATGGTGTTATAGATATAATGCGTCATTGAAAATGAAGTCTTGCTAGGTGTTAAAAAGACTTAGTATGTTCCTTCAATTATTGTCCATAGTTAATTCAAACACAATTGAATCATTTGTTGTTGTTTTTTGTAAAGGGTATGACATGTCAACATTTGTCAGGAGATACGGGAAATATTTGAATGAGAAAGCTTCTTCCTACACAGAAATGGGATATGACTTTTGCCGAATCAAAAGAGGGTAAGGCGGGATCCATTTTTAAAATTTGTTTATTCACGCAAGTTACCTGAAACACATTTGTATGTTTAAATTAACAACAATTCACTTTGCTTATAGAAAAGAAGAGGGTGTTTTAAGAACTATGGATGCTCCCAAAGTAGGTGTCTTTAGTTTTTTGAAATGATATACTGTCATTGTATTTATAATGCAAAGTTGTTTTTTTTTTTGACTAAATTACAAGATAGAGTATGTTGGTCTGGTTAAAAGTTATTTTAGTAATGTAAGAGTCTAGCCAGTTGGCTAGAAAGAGATAATCATGAATTATATCATTAAAATAATGGTAATAGAAAAAAAAATGGTGTTTTAAAGCCAAACTTAGGTAGCTGTTTTTCAATTGTCTTCCTTTTTTTATCAACAGCTTCTCAAAGCCCTCCCAGTGTTGCAGCAACAAATTGATGCTCTGCTTGAAGTGGATGTATGTTAATTTTTTTTCTGTATCCAACTTTTTATTTTTTTCCCAATAACTCATAAAACATTTTTGCTTTTAACATGTTTTTATTGTGTGCAAATATCTCTCTTACTTTAGCCTTAAACCTTAAACAATGAGTGATGTAAATGCTACAACTTTCTATTTGTCTGGGAACATGGGTCACCAATTTTGTGACTTCTATAGCAAATTTAATTATCATGCATGGCAATGAAAATGGTTGAAGCTTGGATTACTGGTATACTTGTACATCTAATTTTACAGTCTATCTGATAAGTGGTGGGTTTCTGCTGTATGTTTTCAACTTGAAGGCCTACTAAATTAAGTCTTGCAAATCTTAACATTATTTCTTTGCTATTTTTTTCCAGATTAAATCAAGTGAATTGACAAATGGTGTGATAAACAGTGTTTTTGTACTTCTGTTTAAGGTAAAAAATGTTGGTTACATTTTTTATTTTATGGTGATACATGCAACTTGGAAGCACCAAGTGAAATCAAATTTCATAGATGACCAGCAACATTTTTTTTTTTTTTGGTGATGCTGAGTAGCCTTTTGGACTGAAACATCTTTGGTGAACATGTTTACATTTACTTGTTCACACATGGCAAATGAGTTACAAAACAGTTTGTACAATGTGTAAAATGTTATGTGTTATTTTTAATGTAGCTAAATGGAATTTAATTGAGGTAACAACTAAGAGTGTCAGTGTTCTCTAGTAGTCAGCAATATTTTTGCAAATGCACTTGCATCCGAATTTCATGTGCTCTTCATTTGAAGCACTCTTGCAAGTGCTTGGAGTGTGTACTTGCAACATTCCCAGGCAGTTTTTACCCGCCCATTCCCTCCCTTTTTCCACAGTTTATTCAGGGTGATGGGTGCCTTTCCTGCATGGGGCTCATGGCTGGGTTGCCAGGATTTGCCAGCCATGGGGGAAGTCTCCATCTAGGAGCTGGCTGCCAATAGTGGAGGCTCCTGAATGTTTCAGGCACTCAACCTCAACTTAGTGATGCAGTTGTTAATGCAGAGAAATGAGAAATCTGCAGGGATAGATTGTGGGATACCTTTTGCATTATTGTTTTTTTTAGGATGGCTTCTCTTAGATTATCATAACCTTGAAGTTTCTTTTCTTTTGTCATTAGGATTTAATCAGGCTATTTGCCTGTTACAATGATGGAATTATAAACTTGCTTGGTGAGTGACAGTGCTGTAGCTTGTATTTGATGATATTCTTAAAATCTACCCATTTGTATCTGTTGTAGTTCAATTTTATCCTTGGTTCAAATTTTATTTTCCTTTGTTTCAAACTCATTATCATGCATTAACATGACCAAGAACAAAGGAAAATAAAATTTGAACCAAGGATAAAATTGAACTACAACATATCTATATCATGTTGACAGATAAATGATACAATACTAGAAAAGTACTCCTACTTAAAATTCTTTTTTTTTTTTTTTTGTCTTTCAAAACCCTCTCCCTAAATGTTAAGAATTCATCTCTTCTCTCCAACACGTCCTTTTATTTTGCCCAATATTCCTTTTGCCTATAAGTTTCTCGTTCCTGTCCTTCTCCCCCTGCCCCAACCATCCTCTACGGTGCAATGGAGGTACAGATGTAATGAGAGCTAGCCCTTCATCTTAACTGACCACTGTTTGAGCTTTAAAGAATTACTCATTGTTTTCTTCAAGAAAAAATACCATGCTCCATAGATTTGCAAGTTGATATAATGAATTATGGTTAATGAAAATTTTTAATGAATTTGATTGTTTTATACTGTTTGATTTCCCAGTGGTCCTTCCTGTCTCTTTTAAATGCACCCCTCCTTCCTGGTTTATCTTCAGTCACATTAGGCAACAATTTACAATTACTTTGTGAAAGGATGCCCTCAACAAAATCGGCCTTTATGTAATATTTGATTTTTTAATTATTATTTTTACAGAGAAGTACTTTGACATGAACAAGAAATCGTGCAAGGAGGCACTAGAGATCTATAAGAAATTCATAACTCGCATGGACAGAGTGTCTGAGTTTTTGAAAGTTGCAGAAGATGTTGGTTTTGACAAGGATGATATACCAGATCTTAGTAAGGTAGTCTATCAGTAAAGAACAGGATTCTCTTTTCTTGAAAGCCACTACGGTTTTCTCTTAGAAAGGGGGCAACATGTCTAAAACCTTTCACTCATCTTTTATCTTATACTGTGGTCCTTTCTCAGCATGGAAGTAGAATGATAATCTGTTGATTTTCTTTTGCAGTTCACCATGAACAAATTTCAACTGAAAGCTTTGCCATCAAGTTTACTCATAGTAAAATGTTTTTGTTTTTTTTGTTTTCTTCCTTCAGGCTCCTAACAGCCTTTTGGATGCCCTTGAAAACCACTTGCAATCATTAGAAAAAGGAAAGGCAACTAACCCACCTACATCAAAGTAAGTTGTACTGCATTACATAAAAAAGCCTATCACTGTTCACTTGACTTAATTATTCTTCTGTGCTCTGTACTGTTTACTTGTTTTTTTTTTTTCTAGTGTACAATGTGTTTGTCTGATAATTTAGTTTTATGGATGGAGTTTGTAATGTAAATTGGCCACTTTGAAGAGCTTCTGAAGCTGATTTTTCAAGTGTTAGCCCCTTGTCAGAGTGAAAGGTACATAATTATAATTGTTTGATGCTTAATGTAAAATTGTCTCTTATGGTGTTGATGGGAAGTTCCTGTGTTGGATTGTAGGCCATTGACAATACCAAGCATTACCCTCCCACCATCGGCAACAGATGCTTTCAGTGCTGGCAAGTTTACAACTAAGTTTGAAGGAGATGATGCTACCGATGCTGGCCCAAAAAATGACCTTCTTGAAGAGGAGGAGAAATATCTTGATGCTTTCAAGGTGGGCATGTGACTTTTTGGCTGCTGTCTTGACATTCAAGGGTTTTAATATGATCATCAGTATCATCATTATTATTGTCACTAATAACAATTGACAATCCTTGCGCACAACTTTTTGCACCCCATTTGATGCTTAGATGTAGATTTAATGCAGTATTTATCTCCAAATTGCAGAAATCCTTTATAAACAGTCTAGAAGAAATCCTTGACCTTTGTTATTATTATTATTATTATTATTATTATTATTATTATTATTATTATTATTTCTTTATTTCAATAGAAAGCAAAAGATTCTGGAACACAGATTCAAGTACCTCCAGCACAAGCAGCAACTCAGTCACCAGGCCAACCCAAGCAGTGGGAGTTGTTAGGTGAACCAGCCCAGCCTGCTGTAGCTCCACTAGGATCTCCTAGTGATGACCTCCTACAACTCAATGCAGCATTTGCTGCTCCTCCTTCACTGTCAAATTCTGCAGCTTTTTCACAGAGTCCTTCCTTCCCTCCCAGCCAAGGCTTTTCAGCTGCACAGGGCTTTGGACCAGGCTCAGTGCCAAATGGTTTTGGTGCACCTCAAGGTGGTCTCTGGGGTGCCCAAGCCCAAGAAGCTCAAGCCTCTTCCAGTGGTAAGTACCTTTGAGAAACACTGCCTCCTGCAGTATGATCTTAGCCAGGTCTGTTAGCTGAAGAACTGTTTGACATGAAATGAAGATGTTAACTCAAACAAAGAAAAGACCCAACACATATTCATTTCAAATTCCGGGCAGTTTGCCAGTGTCCTAAAATCTCAGACATTTGTGAGGACAATCACAACTTCTGCAGTAAGACTTAATTTTGGTTGGCCTTATCTAATTTGCAAAAACCATGACAAATCTACATTACCACAACAAATTTTTGGGAGAAGAGCAACAAAGTGATGCAGTCCTATTTGTTTCAGATCTGTGTCTGGCCTTATTTTATCAGGGTGTAGCAAACTGGCTGTGACAGTTTTATTTGTAGTATTCAATAATTTGAAGCCACATTTTCAGCCCTATTCATCAGCAAACCCTTCCCACCATCCCAGTCTGTTAGTGTAATACTGAAACCATAAAATTGTAGAGGAGGTTTGACAACTCCCTCTTGAGCACATCACAACTTTTGTTGTTGCACATGTGTACAGGTTTTAGCAGCAGCAGTACAAACCCATTTGACAGCCAAGGTCAGGATGAGTTTGCAGCAGTTTTCGGTGCTAAACAAAGCCCTGTTCAAGGTCCTGAAGGTCTGGGAGACATCTTGCTCCCAACAGTTTCTAGTGGAGGACTTCCACCAACACCAATGGACAGTGGTATGAGCAGGGAGCAGTCAGGAACAGACCTTCATTCCAGCCTACAGAGAGTTGCCAAGTCCTTAGGTGAGAACGTATATGTACAGTGTAGATGTACATGATGTAAATCTGTTGACCAGCTGAGGTTATTTGGAGAGTGTCTGTTGAATAGGCCATACGCATGTGTACATTGGAGTTCATAATTTCAACCCCAATCCTTGCTTTGAAGGTAGAGATTGGTGAGTTTCAATAGGAAGCTATTTGCTAGTGGCAAAGATTCATGAAAATTTTCGTGCGAAAGAGGCATTGAGGTAAATTTTCTGTAGTGATGTCATGGTGCTATTCCCTCCATTAAAGGTTTTTTAAAGCATTCCCAATTTGAAAATGGTTTTCGTAATGTACTGTCAGTAGCGAAAATTATCCACAATTTACTTTCATCTATTGTGGTCAATAAAATCCAGTTACAACAAGAATCATTCAAAGGTTGAAAGTGTGAAATTTTGAAAATTGATAACTATTTGCAGTAACACAAAATTCTAGGTAACGGGCTGTATTTACAATTAACAGAAAGAATTAGACTGTGAGCAACGCCTCATTATTTTTGTAACAAGCCATGCATTTGTCACTCTCAGGAAGATATGAGATGAGTGGGGTAGAGGTTTGCCTGGGATCTGTCACCAATCATTGTCAACCTTTTTTTTTTTTTTTTGCTTAAGCCCTCATACTTTCATGCAGGATAAGAAATGCTTACCAGTATCTTGAATTACTAATAATGACGGGTGTGCATGCAGGCTAGTAAAGAAATAGGACTTGATTAAAATGTCTTTAGTATCTTTTTGTTGAATAAGTGGATAATGTTTTATGAATTATAGATTCATTTTCCTTCACCAATGGAAACATTATGGGCACAGCTGGTAAAACACAGCACCAATGGACAGCACCAGCACCACAGAGTAAAACTGGTGGACCTAACTGGCAGGCACCCATTACAGCGAAAACAACTTTACCAGGTGCAGGTCTGTCATCTGTGCAGCAGCCAGCTGGACTCAGACCACCCTTCACACAGCCGCAACCAATGGCACATCCTTTCATGGTATGTGCATATACAAAATGTTGATACCCCTCATGCAGATTATTTATTTTTTGTATTCTCTCTCTTCTTCCTTCTCATTGTTTTGGCTCTTTACTTTCAAAAAATTTCTTGTCTCATAGATTCTTTATTATTGATATTATTGTCTTAGTCATTGTCATTGTCCTTGTTATTGTTGCTAATCACTAGATTTAAGATTTCCCCATGAAATGGAAGGGTTCCACTCCACCCACAGCCTTTATCCCAAACAATTACATAATGTTTTAGTTGTATCAAAACCTATATATCAAAACCTATTCTTCCCGCACTCCTCCCCTTAAATGGTCAGTAACCCGGGGATAGTTATAGATACTGTTCAAAATAAAACAGGGTTTACATTTTGAAAACTTAGACTGTATAGGTGGGTGTTGACTAGGTGAGCTGGGTCTTAAATGACATGCACTTAGACCCCGATTGTTATTCCTTGTTCAAGAAAATGATCCACAGGATATCTATTCCCTGCCCAGCAAACAAAGAAAAACAAGCTATCGATTGGGCAAATTCATTTTAGATCGTTGGGTTGTAAGCAGAGTAGAGTGATGAATTTTGGTTTTGTTGTTGTGGGATCTTGAGGTATTGTCTCCCTTTTTTTTTTTTCCATGCGAAGCCGCCTGGCCAGCCAGCAGTGTTCCCCCCTCAACAGGGCTCCATGTTTCCATCTCAACCATTCCAACCTCAGAGACCCGTACAGCCTAGCGACCCATTTGGACCTGTCCCTGGAAATCAGGTAAATTGAAATACTATGTACTCTTTGACTGAGTGGGAGGGGCCGGACGGGAAAATATTTGGCTATCGGTCATGAGGCACGGCACAGGTGGCGTGCCTCATGACCGCCTGTGGGCACGGTCCTCGCTGCGTTCGTTCCGTACGTTATGACCTGGAGCCAAATATTTTACCATCTGGTCCTCTCATTCAGTCAATAAGTACAAAATATGTTACAGTGTCATGTAAGTCAATAAACCTTCTCCCAAACCCCTCACGATTTTCAAAATGGCGGACAATCGTGAGATACTCGCAACGTCTCTGGTGACTCGTCTCGACTCGTTTAATCTGCTCCGACTCTGGTCATCGTTGAAATCTGATCGGCTTTCTTTGGATTCTTTCTTTGTTTTGCTGGGTTTCGTTCGATATTTGTGCAGGGTTTCACCCCTGCATTTCGATTTGTTATCGATTTGAACGTAACAGCTACGTCATCAAACGATTTCACAGGTGTGCATTACTCTGAACACATCTAACATATCATTTGAAGAAGAATGTAAATTGAAAGGGAGGGGAAAAAGGAAAAAGAAATGAAAACGAAAGACAAAACAAAGCTGACGTGGCCAGGGATCGTACCATATCCATTGCGGTGGGCAAGCAGAGCGTAAGAAGCGGCGAGTTCTGTATGGAAATACATTTAATACATGATGCACACTCATTTAATACATGATGCACACTCATTTTATACATGATGCACGCTCATTAAATGATGCACATTTGATGCACACTTAAAATTTCCATCCCTGTTCCTGGCCAGTCAATTGACTAGTGTACAATCTCTTTTGTAACTAAATCCTACTTTTGTTACAATTTTGGTAGCGACAAGAGCTGTTCATTAACCCCGCTACATTATACACCACAACTCTTTTTGACAGCAATAGTATACAATTACTGTATACAACAGTAGGCACATGTAGTCATAGACTGCAACTTATTTTAGAATGTTTTCGTTTTTCTCGATACTACAGTATGAAACGTTTTTCCTCATAGGTTAGATTCTAAAGTCGATGCCTTCATAAGATGTTGGATTGATCACACTGGTCTGAAATGAAAACTTCACGTGAATATACATTGTAAATCTGGAGAGATAATCTCAAGCGGAGCTATTTTCTAAGACGGTTTTGTAGTCTCGACTTTCATATAGATAAGCAATCAGAATTGTTCCCAGGGATACCCTCCCAACCAGGGAACAAGCCGGCAACTAATCATTCCTTCCAACGTTTGGAAGTCTATCTTTCCTGTGACTTTGTCACGCATTCTGTTGTCACGGGTTTCCTGCCGTCACGCAATTTTTCTTGGATGCTTTTGCGTGACAATCCCAGAAGGGCTTTCGACAGAAGGAAGATAATGCTCCAGATAAGCTGGGTTTTACGCAATTTAGGGGACTGACAGGCCAGCGATTCAATGAAGTTTATTGCTGCCAGTGCAGCAGTGCAAAGGGGGCTTTTGCTAGTAAAGCTGTAGCAGAAAGGTAATCTCGTTTTGCAAAGCTTTTGTTTCCGGTTAGGGGTTAATTAGTTTCCCTAGGAATTTAGAATGTTTTGTATAATTTGACCATTAATGCAATTTCCATCAAGACCTAATTAAGACAAATGCGTGGAACGAGAACTGGTCTTGAAATATAATCACAGTACAACATGTTTTGTTTGATTGTTCAAAAGTTATTTTTGATTCTCCTTTTTGGTCAATGTTGTTTTTGTGATACCTGGTGTTGATGTCACTTTTTCATCCAAATTCATATGGACTTTTACAGCCTTTTTTACTGCCTTCTGCCTCCAAAAAAAATGCACTTTGTTCTTAAACATGGATTTCATATTTGCGATGTGGGCCACATTGTCAACTGCACTAGATTTCGACGTTCAAAGCACCAGGCTGAGCCTGGTGTCTGTTGTAAGCTGGTCTTTTGTCATTTTTTGTTTTGCATTTGGAAATGTGATCCACTTTACTCAATCATTGTTCTGTGCTAGGATTAAGTGGTCGTTCTTTAGTCTGTCCGAGGTATCGTGAATTTAAGATACTTTCACAAGAACTCAGCCAGAAATTCTTTTGGGGCGTCAAAACGAACAACCTCAGATTGTCTGAAATTGAGAACTCGATCCGTATCTTCCTCCTTGAGATGCTACAGAGGAAGTTTGCCTTTTAATTTTGAGTAGTTTGTTTGGACGGAAAAATTAGCTTTGGCATTAAAAGAAACCATAAAATATTAGTTTGTTAAAGTGGCAAAACACCAAACGAAAAAGGATCAGGGATGGTCAAAGATGGAGACGATCGAAACTGACCGCAAATGAGAAGCGCGCGTAATTTTGAATAAATTCTTCAAACAGTAACATAGCCATATTAAAGATATATTGATGGTACTGTTTTAATTTACTTTCATTGAAAAGAGACAAACCCCAGTTCAAAGGCCAAAAAGGCAACTAAGCAAAACGAAACAAGCAGTATTATCGACCACTTACGATCAAATTTTCGTGACTCGACGTGGATCTTTATTTGCTAAGAGTGTGATCGTCTTTTCCATGATTTTTCTGGAAGCTTTTCCATCTTGATATGAAATATCCTTCAACTAACGCGTGCAAATGCTGAAGTTTTGATAAGTGCAACATTAAACCAATTACAATGTATCCTAGTGAGTCAGTATATTATAAATAGTTGAGACTTCATTGTAAGTTGGTACCAATTGTTTATTAATGAAAGGTTAAGTGCGTTAGAGACGTAACACTGCATGACATGAACAATAAAAACAATGCCGTATTTGAGTCTTTTATTTATCAGTGTAGCACTTAACGGAGCTGCCTCGAGTAAAGCTTTATTTTGAGCATTTTCAGCCTCTTCCATGTAGGTTCTCGGTCAGGCCAAGGGGTTGTTAAGTGAAAAAGCGAGGAGGCGCTGGCTTGCCCTCAGTTGGTTTTGAATGTGAAGCTACCAGCACCGACGGAGTGGGAGTGCGAAATGTGATGGATAGGGAGAAGGCAAGAGAAGAAGACGATGTCGTGTTTTCCTTTCCCTGCTTTCTTTCACTCGTTTCTCTCCTTTCGCGCAGTGCACGTATAGGGAAAAGTTGCCGGATCCTTTTGACAACCGCGCGCCCAGGGTCGCTCGCTTGCTGGGTTACTCGTTTTTACAAACCAAGATTTTGAAACAGGCTAATCGATTTGGTGGTGATGTCACACATATTACTGCGCAGCTGAAAATATGTTTGCAAGGGAAAATATACCTCGCGCGAAGCCCTCGCGAAGAAGAGGATTCGGAACGGTGCGCGCGAAAAACAGAACCTGCACGACTTCCTGACACAGGAGGGTTACAGGACGGTCTCCCTTTCCACGAGCGCTACCATTATTTGCGCTTGGTCATCTTTCAGCGGTAGATCATCTCGGTTTTTGAAATAACGTAAGACAAATACCACAAGCGCACTGCTCATCATGAACGAGCCAGACATGTAAAAGGCAGGTATGTACGACCCTAACTCATCCGCAATGAAACCTACAAAGACCAAAGCAAAAGGCATGATTAAAACGGTTTTCAGAGATGTAGGTTGCGAAAACTTGACAAGTTCTTAATTAGATATCACTGACTTAACCGTCATTATTTCAACTAAATGATTTAAATAGAGAGCGAGTGATCTTTCTCCCTCATCAAGGTTTAAAGCTAGGCTTTGCTCTAAATGAAAAATAAAAGACTCAGGAAATGAAGGGAAAAGCTTAGCCTCAAATTGATTCAAAATGGAATTGATCGCGTAAAATTGTTGTTGTTTGATCACAGGCGGACCATTCTGTGAGTATGTTGATAAAAAATATACTTTGAAAATATTTTCAATTACCTGGCGGTCAAAAGCGCTAAATTCTACCATTTTAAATGCATTGTGATCTGAAAATCTTAAGTGAAACGATGGAGAGTGTATCAGTAAAAGGCGTATTCAATGGCTCTGAGAGGCAGAAAACAACTTATCTTTGATGCACTGAAATTTCTTTTCTCTTAATCGAAGGTTCCCAGACAAAGTGTGTTGAAAATTTTGCTTTTCAGGGCTTTATTCGCAACCGCCGTACAATTCTTAATACTATTAAAGCACGTCTTGCACACCTACAGAGTGGTCTGCCTGTGGTTCGATATACCTGCAAACGGAGGTCCAATAGCCATAGTAAAAGATAAGAAAAACAACCAGAAACCAAAGGACTTGGAACGCTGAGTGTCCGGTATACAGTTTAAAATAAGGTAGTTGATGGGCGTGGCCGATGATCCCTCTGCGAAACCAAAGGTTACGAAATAGAGCATGAGGAGAGCATAACTCCTGGAGCTAACGGGGCACAGAAGTGTGGCCACACCCATCACAAATCCTGCTACCTAGTAAACGAAGGGAAAAGGAGTAAAGATATTTTTAATTGTACCGTAAATTCTGTATTTTGAAGTTATTTCATATCAATGTGATAGTTTTCGTGGGTCATAACTCAGGGCTTTAAACTTACGCGCACTCAGATCGGTTGAAATGACGAGATTCATCACAGCATAGGGGCCGGGGCACAAGTGTAAGCTGACTTTGATTTTCCTTTTCGTCAATTAGAGTATAATTTGAACCAAATCAAACGTTTTCTTCGACCCCTTCAAATGCAACGAAAACGAGTCATTTATCTTCAATAATGTAGGCAACAGTAGTAGTTTTCACGTTTTGCAAAACTTCCGACGGAATAATAATCCGATGCAACAGTGAAATTAAAAATTATTCAACCAATCAAAAGCTTCGATGAAAAAGATTAATGTGTTTAATTACCTGGGAGACTCAAATGAATAGAGAATGTGCGGTCAAGATATATGGATCTGGCCTCGTTCTCCAGTACAAAATTCAAAAGAATACATTATCTCAAGCGAGGCCAGAAGGGCTAATTTAAATTTAAACGAAAGAATATTAATCCGGCAGCCATTAATGAAAGTGGTCTATAGGGAGAGAGACTTGACTTCGTCTCGTATTCCCCCTGCTCCTCAACCCCCACCCCTTAGACGCCTTCCTACCCTCCCCCTTCCTGCTTGCTTGACTAAAATAGAAAGAACAGTTGGTCATTGTCAATCATGAGCGCATAGTAAATGCTGTTACAGTTACTCCAGCCGTAGCCCTCAAGCGGGTTCTCAATGGCGCTACGACACAAGCAGCAAAGCCAGCGTGTTTCGAGCAGGCGTGCGATGACAGCCTGCGAGGTGTCCACGAAGTTCTGGCACACCTCTCGCGCGCTTGTCTCGCTCGTTAGCTCGAATCTTGCAGGCTTTACCAATGGTGCCACGATGCTAACGAGATCCTGCGCTTAGACTACTCTAACCTGGAAGATATGCTGTGCGTGAAATCTCTTGTCACACAGTTTTCCAACCACCAGCCTGGCTATGACTGAAGCAAGTCCAAATCCGAGATATAACATCGAAGAATGTTTACTTTGGATACCAAGATCTCTACAGAAGCTTGCCTTTTAAAGAGAAAGACAAATCTATATTTATTAAAGTCTATGGTCCTTATTCCAAACAAAATTCCTCAAAACTTGGTTTGCATTCAAAAAGGGCATGCATTATTTTGGACTGGTCACGTTCACCGTGTGATTTCAAGAACAAATGACCGCTTAAAAGATTTTTGAAAAAAGACAGAGTTGTGGGAAATGGAAAATGATTATGGCAAAAGCAAAGCTGGGATTTCCACTTTTCCATTGTGCTGACTAAAGAGCTCGATTTGCTTAGATTAAACCCAAGAAGAGGCCAGGCAACCTCGTTCCTGGGGCCTTTTCCCTTAGTTGGGGTAAAAGGCCCTGGGAATAAGGTTGGAGGCCAGGGTGTATCCACAAAATGAACAAATGACCCTTGAGCGTGCAGTATATGGAGTAATTTGGAGTCAGAATTCGAAACACCGGCGATAAATCAACTCAATGAAGGTAAAATTGTAATTTAGTAAAACCATACGCCTTCGCGTGAGCTTTAAAGCCAAATGTTGAAAACATAAAATAGGCAGCTATTGTGCTACTGGTAAATATGTGTTTGCCGTTCTACGTTCGCCCTCTCGTTTTTGTGATTTCTTTGCCTTCACTCGTGCGACGTCCAAAAACTCGCCAGTTACTCAGCTTACTGGCCGCGGAGCTGGGGAGGGGCGGCGTGGGGGGGGGATGGGTCACGCTACATGTCTTGACATAAAAAGGGTGAGGTAATTTTATGCTTTAAGCTCACCATATGAACTTGTGGAATGTGAAGTCGAAGATACAAAATAACAGTTGATACTGTGTAAACTACAAACGGCGGATGTCTCCAGATGGTAAATGTATGTGAAGAACTCTCATCTTGATGTTCTATGGACCCTCTTCGATACCCAGGCTCTTTCTTCAAGTTTTTATGGAAAAAGAAGCCGAATACACAAATGGGTGAAGTCAAACCGGCCCATATAAGAAATGAAGTCCGCCAACCAAAACTATCAAGTAAAACCTGTAAAACAGGAGACACGATCATGATGCCTGCAGCGTGACCCGCTACTAGTGTCCCTGTGGCTAAAGATCGTCCCTTATCAAAAGACGCAGACACCACTAAAAACAAAGCTGTGTGAACACAGCTCGCGCCAAATCCATACATACAGCTAAAGGTGAAATATAACATCCACATGTAGGGCACTTGGGAGCTGGTCAAAAGGCTCACGATGCATATCAACGCGCCGCTTATGCTGACGGCCCGGCAGCCAAGTCGATCACACAATTTTGCCGCCAAAGGTCCAAAGAACGACGCACATGCCATGCACAGGGATCCCACCCATGCTGCGAAAAAAAAAAAAAAAAATCAAAGATGCTACAAATAATAGTAACCATGAAGAATTTATAGACCAGAGATCTATTCTTAACCTTTTTGGAACGAAAATCGAGCTGAAAATCCCGAATAACCATTTCAGCAGGGAATAAGGTTGCATTTCTCGATGACCTCGATGTCTGTAAACAAGTTGAGAATCCGAATGCGATGGCCTCTTAAGTTTAGCCTACCCATATGGTGAATCTGAATACCATTGAAATAAAAATTACTGAAACATTTATAAATTAAGAAATNAAGGGAACGGAATTGTATGTTCTACAGCTTCTTGTGTGCCTCTTTATTTTTTGTATGTTTCCCCTCTTTTGCAAAAGCTGCGTTTAATACTCTACTCAAACTAAAGTTGTTGAATCCTTTTAGTTTTGTTTTTGCGTCTGCAAGTCGCGATAACGGTGTGGCAGTTTACAGACGTCGTCATGACAACACCTTAGAGGCTTCTCAGGTGGGTCACTTTAACGTTAAAAAATAATGAATATCCATTCTTTGAATGCCAGGGAATGAAACTCGTGAACGTACTGTTGGGAATCATTTCTGCTACCATCATTAACGGTGCGTATACGTACGGGACTTTCAGTGCAATGCTCAACGAGTTTGCATGATAATTCCGAAAGGTATCAAAAGAGTCTCCCTGCTGAGAAGAACTGCCGCACCATTCTAGCCGCGAACCATTTTTCACCGGTATCTTTGACAATTTTTATTGTATATTTTCTGTATGCAGATAATTAAAGTCGGAGCACTTGTTGATAACATCAATGTCGATCCTGTTACTGGGAATCTTTGGTTGGCAACGTTACCGAAAGTTATGGACATCGTTGAGCACTCAAAAAATATCAGCCACTTTACTGCTTCCCAGGTTCTCGAGGTACAGCTAGGCAAGCCATCTGCTTCTGGGGTCGCTTTTCCTGATCATAAGGTTCGTGGTGTGTACAGGAATGACGGAAAGGAATTGTCTGCTTCCACAACTGCACTTGTCTATAAAAGCCAACTTCTCGTTGGAACTTTACATACTAACATGCTTTATTGTGAGGTGAAATACTACTGATTCGCTCGAAAACTAACTTCCCAAAAAGGGTAAAGGGTGATGTGCTTGTTTCTTGTAGAGCATGCCGAGTTTCAAGCGCTTTCTCAGCTTCAACGGTAGATGACTTAGTTTCGTGATACGAACGTTACATATACAACCAAAATATAGAGTTGATATAAGTTAGTGTACTTTTTCTTTTACTATTCATATACAGCTCTGCCTGGGGTGTCCCAGAATCAGTGGACTTGAAAAATCACGTGAATTTGTTATAAATAAATTCATACGGTATACGTAACGAATTGCGTGTTGTTATCTAGATAGAGTCTCAGATCATAGTAAAGTCCCTGGGCCTATCAAAACACTTTAAAACAATCAATTTAAAAGCGCAATAAAGGAAAAACTCTTTGAAATTCTGAAAAAAGAGGATGATTATATAAGAATTGCTGATATTAGAGTACAATTTTCAAAATTATAACTGTGTGTACTTTCAGTATATACTACAGTCTGCCCTCCTGTTTCATTCTTTCTATAAGCCACACGGCACATACATACATACATACATACGTACGTACATACATACATATACTTTATTTCAACTCGAATTTTCAGAGTAGCTCTGTTGAGCTAATATTTTCGAGAAAGAAAAATACACAAGTCTGTCAAATTATAAGTAGAACTATTACTAATACAATAATAAAAAATACTACTAAAATTTCATTTTCCTTACGGCTATCTTAAAATCTTTAAATGATGTAATTGAATGAATGAATACCTTTATTTAAGTGTCAGACTAAAATAGCAGTACATAACCACTAAATGGGGACACTAAATAACCACTAAATGGGGACACTACATAACCACTAAATGGGGACACTATTGTTCTCATGCTGTCCGGGGACGAATTCCAAGTTTTTGCTGCTTGATATCGGATGCACTCAAGACCATATTTTGTTGTTTTTGGTATAGGTAGAGTCAAAATATTCTTTCCTCTCAGTGAATAACTGGAATTACGAAGAACAAAAAGTTCTTTTAGATATCCAGGATACATAGAAACAAATAAGCTCTTTAAAACTACCGTTAGAGTTTTGATAAGTCTTCCAGTATATAAGGATGCTATCTTTGCTTTCTTTAACAGATCATTATAACTAGACAGTGGATCATTAAGAATAAATCGTAAAATACGTTTGTTCAAAGACTCTGTTATCACAATTTCTAGTACCAGAAAAATGCCAAATAAGAGAGCAATATTGAAAGTGTGGTAGAAAAAAAGCTTTATATAAATGCAGCATTACATTACTGGTAATAATGTTTTTATATCTCTAAGAACACCAAATCATTTATTAACCTTTTCACATATCTGTGAGAAGTGACAATTAAAACTCAAATCCTTGTCGATAGTTACACCCAATAATTCGATTGAATTCTTAACTGGGAAAGAAAATTCATATTCACTATTTGCACCAATCATCATTGCCTGATGCTTGTCTGGATTTACAATCATGCCATTTCGCTCATACCAACTGTTAGCAATTCCAAGTTCATATTCCAGCCGTGTGTTAAGCATTAATTTCGAGGTCCTTGTCAGACAAGTACAACTGTTGATCATCGGCATAGGCATTCAAGTTTGCCTGCTTAATGTGATAGAATAAATCATTGATGTGAATGTTGAAAAATATGGGGCCATTAGGACACTTCCCTGGGGGACTCCTCTTCTCACTAACTCCCATTCAGAAAATGTGTCTTCAATACTCACACACTGTGTTCTTGCAAAAAGGTAGCTCCTCAAGAGTCCAATGCTCATTCTCGCCAAGACCATAAGCCTTAAGTTTGGCAAGCAAGAGAGGACGAGGGAAACTGTCAAAGGCCTTTGATAAGTCCCTAGAAACAGTTGCCACAGTTTATTTACTATCAGGACTTTTCCTCCAGTCTTCTATCTGCAGTCTTAATAAAGAGGTTTCACAGCTATAATTTGGTCTATATGCAGAGATGAGATCTGATAGTATATCTTGATAAAAAGGCTCAAGTTGTTTTGCTAGGATTCATTCAAAAATGTTATTGAGGGCCAGAAGAACAGATTGTAGTTCTTTTTACAAAATTAGTATATGAAGTATATTTATAGTATGGAGTTATGTGGACATCTTGTTATTTATCGCACAGGAAGTACCTTGAACGTGTTATCTTAGATTTTATACTTAACAGAACAAACTATCACGTTGAACCAACTACATACAAATGAATCGGCTATAGAGCTGATCAGAGTTTGGAATCAAACAAATCATACAGAGATCGTGGCTCTGTCGTCGATCACCTTGTTAATTCTGAATCGTTATCAGCAAAACATGATTATTTTTAATATTTTGTTTGTGTAGATGGATTTTCAAGCAGAGCCTCGCCAAGTCAGCTTCCTCAGTGATCATAACTACTGGATTTCGTGTGGTAGGTACAGCTTTTAATATCAGCCAGTTCCTATTTATGGCTGAAGTTACCGGGCCCGTAGAGTAAGACAGAGCTTAAAGAGATCTTGCTTTATCCCAGAGCGATTTTGAGCCATGTTCCCTATGTGTTGCACAAACGGCAGTCTGGATCTAGATCTTTTGTGTGCATGCATGCTTACTAGAATGCCACCTTTTGCACTGACTCTGGCAGTTGCAATGAAAAAACAAAAAACAAGTGTGCACCTGTCATACTCTACAGACTATAACAGTTACTATACCTGTGAGAGTGGAGGACAGAACTGAATGCAGAAAATACACTATTCAGAGCTAGTAATGAAGTTTATTATAATTAAGGAACCAAAAAGAAAAGAATGATAACAACAGCTACAAAATTAATTAATTGGGGTAAAAACAAAAGAACATAAACCAAACATGATTGAAACCCCCAAAAACAAAACAAGTGAAAGAACAAAGAGAACCAAAGAAATCAAAGAAAAATAAAACAAGTGAATACAGGTGGCAGCAATGGGAGGGGACCCCTCACATGACCTCTTGATCCCTGCATCCCAGGTTTGATCCTTACAGGGTATTAACCTTTACACCCTAACATAAGAATGCATATTCTTCACATGCTACTCTATACATTTCCTAAGATGCTGACAAAGAGCTTCTTTAATTGGAGATCATTTCCTTATTCCTCTAACCTTAGTGTGTGATTTAGGGTGACATTGTAAGGACAAATTACATGCTGGTCACTCTTAGGGATTGAAAGGGATAAAAAGGAGTTGCAATACACCAGGTAGCCACTCATTGCCACTGAAAGCAGGATACGGCACCCTGGAATGACAAATCACTGGGCTTCCTGTTCAGTCTTTGACTTTTGATTTCTTAGAATCCCCAAGAGCCAATGGACTGATATCAGAGCAAATGCAACCATTTGATGAAGTTATCCTGGATTTCATGAAAGAACAAGATATTCCAGGGGCTAGTGTTGCCATAAGTAGAGGAGGAGCAGTGAGATATTGTCAAGGTAAATACAAAATAGAGAGAGACATGTAATTTTTTATCTTACAAATTGGAATTAAATCAATATACCTGTTGGAAAAGAAAGCTTTGAAAATAAAATCAGCTTGCCCTTTTGAATTGGAAAGAAAATTATGGCTTGTCCTTAGCTCTTATCTGAAGTAAAATGAACAGTAAAGGTTTACAAAATGTAGAATTTTACATTCCTTACTCAACTGAACAAGGCTATCAAAGTAAGGTGATGAAACCTTTGAAACATACAATTGTTTCAAATTTGCTGAAGATATCCATGCTGCCTATCCCAACAAGGGCTTACATTAAATATACTGTGAGGGAAAAGGGTCAGATCCTAAGAAAGTTAAATTGGTTACCCTTCAACCCTTGAAGAGTGCCTAGCATATGCATGCTATTGTTGGGTTGTAAAGGGCTAACCCTTTTACCGCCAAGATCTGATTAGTAATTCTCCTTACTGTCTGTCATACAATCCTTAAATGTTATTTTGGAGAATTTGGTTTTGGATCAACCAATAATCCTCTAATTGATATTTTACTTGATTCTCGTCACTTGTCTTCTTGATATTTAACAATTATTCGCCGAAGACGAGGGGAATATCATCGAATAATACTCGAGACTAAGTTGAGGGGATTATTCGACCATATTCACCGAGCCAGAGGTGAATAACTGTTTTAGTATAATAATTTTAGAGCTGAACAACAGAGAAATTTCTAAAATCATAACATTTTAGTAACATTTATTCAGTAAACATTTTATTTTAACATTTTACATAAACCACAGGGAGCAGTTTATACAGTGTCATATAAGGAACCACTCGACCAATCAGATTGCTGGAAACCCTTTGCTCAGCTCTGAAATTATACTAATGTTTTGATATTGTAAGGAGAAATTCTCTTGGTCACTCATGGGAGTGAAAGGGTTATAAAGCTGGGTATTATATGTGAACGATCCTTCGCAGTAAAGCACTATTTGAGCTATGTTTCACTATGTTTCATAAAGCTGGGTATTGTAATGAGGATGGGTACTGAAAATTGTGGTTTAATAAAGTAGGAGATCAAAGGCCTTGAATTGATACTCAACTAAACTTTTTCTTTACTTTTTGGAAGCAAATCTGGGTGAAACTAAATTCACACAAAAAAATAAAATCATTGCAACAGTGCTCTGAAAGTACACCATCTTATCTTGGCCTCTTTTGCCTTTTTCATTCTTAGGTTATGGCTGTGCTGGCACAGGAAGGAAAGTTCAACCAGATTTAATGTTCAGGATTGCTAGTATCAGCAAAACAATTACTGCTGTTGGTGTTATGAGACTTGTTGAAGAAGGGAAATTGTCTCTGGGAGATAGAGTATTTGGTCCAAATGGTAATCCCGCTTTTGTTGGTTTGGCGAAAACTTTGCATCCATTTGAAGTAACAATAATAAGAATCTGTCACAGAAGAAAATTAAAGAAGACTTTGGTCTCCAATTATATTCTGAAGAGTTATCAGCAATTGGATATGGTGCTTTTATGTTTAATTATTTTCAAAAATACATCAGACAATCTTGAATTCAGTAATGTTCATGTAGGACATCAAGGCTAGTGCCATCACTGTCCAAGTTTTGTGCATTATTAAATTCTTCCTGGGTTGGTTCCTAGTAAGATATAGATTCATCTTTTCATATTTCATGCATATTTTTATTTTCAAGGAATTTTAAAGGAGCACAGCCCCACAGAAAATGGTGATATTCGACTCTTAGACATCACACTGAAACAATTGCTTCATCATTCAGCTGGATGGGACCGAGACAGGGCTGGGGACCCTGTGTTCTGGAAGGTTGGAAAACATATGAATGTTGCTGAACCTGTGGCACCTAGTGTACTTATACAGTACATGATGGGAAGAAAACTTCAGTTTACTCCAGGTGAGTACAGTTGCAATGGCGTTTTATAGGAATTACCGTAAACACTGGCATATCAGCCGCACTTGCAGATTAGCTACACCCCAAGTTTTGGGGGAAAAAGTATTTGAAAAGAAGTCAAAAGAAATCACCAGTGGCTTGCTTTATATTACTTACTTCATGGGAAAGGAGTTCCCGTACTTACTGAGTAACATTTAGCTGCTTAAGAAAGGCAAAGAAACAAGAAATACAGGCTTATATTTATCAGTAAAAACGTTTCTTAAAGGAGCCACCAAACTCGCAAAAGCAATGATCAATTTCTTTCCTTGAATATTTTAAGTAGTTCTTGTTCATTTGCCTTTGGCTTCTNAAAAAAAAAAAATCAAAGATGCTACAAATAATAGTAACCATGAAGAATTTATAGACCAGAGATCTATTCTTAACCTTTTTGGAACGAAAATCGAGCTGAAAATCCCGAATAACCATTTCAGCAGGGAATAAGGTTGCATTTCTCGATGACCTCGATGTCTGTAAACAAGTTGAGAATCCGAATGCGATGGCCTCTTAAGTTTAGCCTACCCATATGGTGAATCTGAATACCATTGAAATAAAAATTAGTCAAACATTTATAAATTAAGAAATATTTCCCCATGGGAAAACCTAATCTCGGTGTCTAGCGAGTCTAGAATTAACCATGGAGTAAATTACGTCATGTCACCCGTTCTACCTGAATCTGTTTTCGAAATGGCATGCAAATTCGTGCATTTGGCACGCCCAGGTAAAGATCTGTTAAAACTTTATAGGAGGGTCCGACGTTGTAATCGCCAGAAGCAGCAGATTTGCACAAAGTTCTCTTTTTCGGGACATTGCTTAAAAAATGTTACCAGATGGACTGGTAGCGATATAAGGTTGTATTTGTTATCTAATAACACCTAGGCCAAACGTCGAACTTCATAAGACACGAACTGACCATGAACTGCAAATTAGGTTCAACCAAACGGGTAAAGAGCGATTGTCGGGCCAAGCGTCGAAGCGAGGCTTCAAATAAGGCAAAATTTCGACTGCTTGAGCCGTATTAGCAACATGTATTCGGACCACATTTGGTATTGTTAGGTCAAGGAGTCCTTTCGAAATTCAGAATTCAAATTATGATCGCTTTTTTATTAACCGCAGTCGGTTCCGAAAACTCCAAAACAGTAAAGGAAAAGTGAGCTTCATTCATGGGGCATCATAGACAATTCTAGTCATGATAAGCACCACAACTTGATCACAACAATCCCAAAAAAATGTCCAAAATCAGACAAGCATCGGAAAATATACTGTAATACCTCGTAAGTGCTAGACTTTTCGCTTTATTACCGTGACTCTTTCAATAATCGCTGTGGTTAAATGACTGGCTGCCGGCCAAGGTTCTCAAAACACGAAATGACCGGCAGTCGTTACTGATTTTGGGTGAATTTGACGAATCGAGAGAACTTAGCTGATCAAAAATATCATAGGCTGGGGCGGATCCAGGATTTAGTCAAGTAAGGTTCGGATAATTGTCCGAGGGCATGCTCCCCCGGGATATTTTGAAAATTAGGTCTTCGGAAACATGATTTCCAGTATTTTGAGGGAAAATTTAGGGGGTTCGGCCCAACCACCCGAACCACCACTGGATCCGCCTCAGTCATAGGTAGTTTTTATAGAATTCAAGGCGATCCTCTTGACCTATGAAACTTTGGATTGGCGGGTTGCTCAAGATCTGTCAAATTTAACAAAAGCGTCAATCAATCAATCAATCAATCATATCCTTTATTTAAACACGATGAGGTTTAAAGCTGGGGGCTTGTGGGGTCGTGTGAATACTAGCGTCGACCTGCTAGTTTTGAAAACCTTGACTGGTCGCTGGTAATTTCGCCGCAGCCATTAGAATTTGCTTTGCTGCTTGTCTCAAACTCTGCTTTACGGCAAGCTACACAATACCCTACGCTCCTTCCCGTAACTGGGCCACCCTTCGTCATCTTCAAAAACAGTGCAGTCGTTACAGGCAGTAAATTTGCATATCAGACCCATGCATTTTCAAGTAGAAAAGAAGCCTTGTGTGTGTTTTCGTCGTCAATCGAGTCCGAATTCGCTCTACAGCAGGGTCAGCAATGTTTAGATTTTTCCAATGTAAAAAATTGGGTTTGCGGTCAAGCTCAAGTACCAATGCTTCGATACCGAAGCTGAAATTAACAATATCATACGAAAATTTTTAATTTATTCTCTATGTTCGATTCAGGAAAAGATCGTGATGTATCTGAGAGTCGATCTTCGCACACTCTGTCTGTCTACCCGCAGACGGATAGCTAGCACCTACTTAGCGATCGAAATTCACTTGGACGAACTCATGCGCTTGACTCAAACGTCGAACTTATGATCCAGGGGTTTCACTGAAGGCCGGTTAACGACGGTCTGTTTAGCCTGCAGGCAGGCTTTTGTTTTTGAGTCCCGTTTCAAGTTACTTTGTTCATCTCATGTGCAAAGTTTGACCTTCGGTCAAGGCCGAAAAACTCGTAACGGCTTACCTGTGCGAGCTTTCCCGTGTCGAAAGTCCTCTAACAAGACAGGATTTAACACCCCAAAACTAAAAAGGAATCCAAGAATCAAAATACTTGATATCAAACCAAGACCGCACACAAACCAACTCCACACACTATCTTCCTGTTGACGCTTAGAGCTGATGCATTTTCCTCCATCTTCGGTGTCCATGATGAAAGATGATGTCTCCTCGTTTTTTATGTTTTATCCGTTCAGGCTGGGCTTGATGCTTAGAGAGCCATCGTAAGCTTAACAGACACTTAAGAACGGCTGCAGCTGTCCAACAAAGGAAAGAAGAACTGTCTTACCGGGTGGCGAGTTTTGAGATTCGAGTCAAAATATAATCTTCTCGTCATCGCGTGCTCTGAGTCAATTTACATGATTTATTCTGGAACAAACCAGTTTAGAATCCTTGAGGAAGAATCAATAAATGTGTACTGCGGTTTCATGAATGTAAGAAAGCGATTCTCGCGGTAATGAACCCTTCTTATGTAGCCAACTGGGAGCTGGTCATTATGTGTTGGTTCGTATTAAACCCGTCGACGGGCTGGCGTGTTAGCTCAGTTGGTAGAACACTGCACCAGTATCGCAAAGGTAAATACTGGCAAAAATAAATAGCTACCGGCGTCACGTAATAATTGCAGAACCTCACGTAAAAACGCGAAAATGATTGAAGAGAAAGAGAACATCACATTAAAAGTACAGCAGAAGGAAAAATTGCAACAAATATTTTACAGCTGCTTAAAAAGAAATAGAGATGCAAAATCTAGTTGGTAGGGTATTCGAATGGTCGAGTGCTCGCAAAATTTGGCTTTGTTCTAATTGCTCACAAAAATTATATGGGTGCTCGCTAGCTCGTGCCCGCAAAATTTTTGCAACTGCTTGCGTGCTCGCATTCTCGATAACATGTGCTCGATTACTCGAAATTTTGCTAATCCTGCTTTGCAGTTATTTTTTAAATATGTATAAACGTTAGATCAGTATGATGTAGTTGACAAAAATGTTGAAACATTCTTACCTCTGGCTTGAGTCTTTCTTCAACAGTTCAGTCTGTAACTGTTTTGGAGGCGCTGTATGTATTATCGGAAAAACTCGGCACGAAGCTCCATGACAAGCATTTCGTTCTTTGGTTTATTCGTTATCGACCATCTAGTACATCTCCTTGAGTGCTACCCCGACTAACTCACGTGACTACGTGACGTAATTTGGCATCAAGCAGGGTTGTAAGGTGCTGGGACTGGTTGAACTGCCCAGTCAGATCATTAGCTATTACTTGGCGCAAAACAACGTATCCTATCGATAGGAGAGAGACTCCGACTAACGGAAAATTTACGAAGTACTCGAAGTCCTCGCGGCTCGCCATCTGTATTTTTCTCAAAAGTGCTCGTTGCTCGCCATCTGTATTTTCTAAAGTGCTCGCTGCTCGCAAGAAAAATTTGACAACTGCTCGTGCTCGCAAAAATAGACACGCTGCTCGCATGCACGCAAATGCTCGCAAAGACCATTCGATACCCCTTACTATTCCCGTGCAGGCAATTTAGGGGAGGGTCCATATCCCGACACTAGCAGATTTGGACCGGGGGTTCCAAATTTAGGGGGGGTCCAAATCCGCTGGCAAAAGTCTGGAAGCAATAGCTGCGAGCTCGTGAAGCCCTGATAATAACCTCTTTATGTTATAAAAAAGCTGGGAATGAAATATGTGTAAGGCGATCTGAATAACATTGGATCAGCTTGAAATAATGATTCTCTCCTAAAACAGGAAAACACTTGTATTTCTGTAACCACAGTCTAGACATTTGACAACTTCCTGTCGATCAAACGATCTCAATCGTGTTAATATCTAAGTTCTACCTT